GCCTCTGAAGACCCTTCACCCTCTCTTAGAAGATGGTTGCATTGATGATGATCCACTTCCTCACAAAAAGGTTGGCTTTGTTGGGATATCTAACTGGGCTCTAGATCCAGCTAAGATGAATCGAGGCATCTTTGTATCCCGTGGAGACCTGAATAAAAATGAACTCATAGAAAGTGCAAAAGGTATTTGCTCTTCAGAACGTTTTGTGCTACAAAGAGTTGAGCGTTTCTTTCCTATCTTTGCAAACGCATATGAAGAAATTTGTAAGAAACAAATTAAGGAATTTTTTGGATTGCGTGACTATTACAGTCTTGTAAAAATGCTTTTTGCTTTGACAAATAATTCCAAAAGCATTCCAGGTCCCCGTAAAATAGCAGAGGTAGTTCTCCGAAATTTCAGTGGCAAAGAAGGTGTTGAAGTCTTGGATACTTTTATGTCTAAGATTCCGGAAGGAGGAGATGCAAATTATAAGGATATCAGTACAATTGATTTAGTTGAGCAGAACATTTATAGCGATTACCAGGATGGTGAATGCCGATATCTGTTAGTATTAACAGAAAATTATGCAGCGCTTCAGATTCTCCAACAGTGTTTCTTCAGAGATGTTCAACCAGAAATTATTTTTGGTTCTAGCTTTCCCAAAGATCAAGAATACACTCAGATTTGCAGGAACATAAACCGAGTAAAAATTTGCATGGAGACTGGGAAGATGGTTGTTCTTCTCAACCTACAAAACCTTTATGAGAGCCTCTACGATGCCCTCAATCAGTATTATGTCCAACTTGCTGGTCAAAAATATGTTGACTTAGGTTTGGGGACCCATCGAGTGAAATGCAGAGTACATCCCAAATTTCGACTGATTGTCATCGAGGAGAAAGAGGTGGTGTACAAACAGTTTCCCATCCCACTGATTAACCGACTTGAAAAACACTATCTGGATATTAATACCGTACTGAACAAGTGGCAAAAGAACATTGTGGAAGACCTGAAGAAATGGGTGGATGACTTTGTAGCAGTTAAAACTGAGAAATATTTTATGGGTCAACAAACATACACACCTTCTGATGTTTTCATTGGCTACCATTCAGACTCTTGCGCTTCAGTTGTCCTGCAAGTGACAGAAAACCTGAAAGAGTCTCTTTTTCCTCAACAGCTAAGGCAGAAAGTGCAAGAGCAGGCCCAGCTGGTCCTCTTGAACTGTGCCACTCCAGATTCTGTAGTCCGTCTCAGTGACTCTAAACTGGACTTTTTAAGAGAAAACTTGGCTAAGATATACTTTCAACAACAGCAACACACTTCCTTTGCCGAATTTTTGCATGGATGCCTTCGGTCAGACTCTAGAGACCATACAGTGTTTATTGAGGTAAACTGCAATTAAACTGTTTCTTCCTGTTTCTTCCCCCCCGCCCCTTTTTCTCATATTCATAAATATGATGAATTCTTAAAACTGGCATGATATATGGCAAGAGTTGCTTAAAGACAATTTTAAAATGCTCCAAATTAGAATACATTTCTATTATCTTTAGGAGTTAGGGCTAGTTGTTGTTGTTGCGAAGTCATGTCCGACCCATTGCGACCCCATGGACAACGTTCCTCCAGGACTTCCTGTCCTCTGTCATCTTCTGGAGTCCATTTAAGCTCACGCCTACTGCTTCAGTGACTCCGTCCAGCCACCTCATTCTTTGTCGTCCCCTTCTTCTATTGCCCTCAATCTTTCCCAGCATTAGGCCCTTCTCCAGTGACTCCTTCCTTCTCATTAGGTGGCCAAAGTATTTGAATTTCAACTTCATAGGGTTAGTTACTTTATATTTTGTTTTGGAGATTATAGATACAAACAGTTTTCAAGATTTAGTTCCATCTCGATAAAAATAACATTAGCATGGGGAAAAGTAATCATTTTTACCAAGTCCAGGCTATTGAGATGATGACTAATACTATCATCTGTACTTACAGAGCAATCTTTGTTGCTTAATAGATTGTAGAAAATGGCTTGTTTTGATGTAATCACAGAACTACTCCAATAATATTAATATAGAAAGCTTCAAGTTTGTGTGTTTAGCTTGAGGCTACTTGTGATTGGATTTGAACTTCCGATGATTGTTTTTCCCTCCCCCCCCCCATACATGCCAGAACTTCGGGTATTTATCAACACAGCAGCATTTACGGCTGGTTGCAGCATTCCATGGTCATTGGTTTGCTTAATGGCCATGGCATTCACTTAACCATGGATTCGCTTAAAGACTGCCTCAGAAAACATTGTACAATTTGTTAACGATCGTCATGACTTATGATCATGATGGGCAGGCTCCATTACAGTTGTATCCAAAGTGTGCTATGGTTTCTTTATAGTAATGAATTGTTATTTTCCAGAAATTTGGATGACTGCTGTGTTATTGTATGTTTTAGATTTACCCTGAATACTAAATGTTTTGAAATGGAAAATACATGCAGGAAATATTTAGGGTGTAGAAATGCACTTTCTTGCCAGAATCCGAAGATTCAAGAATACTCTAGCTGAGCAAATTGAAATGAGATTTTGTCTTCAGAATGTTTTCCTAGTATGTCCATATGTAGCAGAAATGTTGAGAAACCAGTGTTTTTCTTTCAGTGTAAGAGTCTGGAATGTTTGAAGTAGAGCATAGCTTTCCTTAGAACAAATGAAGGACTACTTCAGGACTATTTCTGAGTAATAGAACAAAGGAATTTGCTATACAAATTTAGATAATAAATAAATAAAATGTTAATAAATAAAATTTCTAAACTAAAATGGTTAAAAGTTACCTGATCTTTTTGTAACCAGCTAATTGATGGTGTCACTCAGATCCTTCCCGATTGTATGCCAAGTCCCAAAGCCTACACTGGTACCCATTGCTAAATGACTGCCTCATTTAATGATCAATTTGCAATTATGATGGTGATGAAAAATATTCACATTTATGATTTTCATAGATGTGTAAAGCCAATGAAAGCTGAAATAAGCTCATAAGCAAAGTCAAGATTTCACTTAGCAATTGCTTCACTTAACGACCAAGTTGCTGTTCCCAATTGTGGTCTCTAAACGAGAGTCACCTTTATGTTTAGGAGAAAGGAAGGGAAGAAAATATTTCCACTTGGATAATAAAAAAACAATAGACTGCATGACCATCCTGTGAATACTTTGTTAATATTTGACAGAAAAACCTGCTGTCTTAACTGTTACAGATCACAACCTTCTCCAGGCTCCTGACTGCAGCAGACACAAAGATTTTGGAGGCAGAATTGCAGCATGATTCAGACAGCCTGAAAGTTTTGTTTTTGCAACAATTTGACACGGAGTACTCGTTTTTGAAGGATATTCAGTGAGTTTTCATCATCCACAATGGTTGCAGAATAATGCAAATTTGTATGTGTCTTTGTACTTCTTTTTTTGAAGTGACATAAAAGTGCTTATAATAAAATAAATAATTAATAGAATAAATTTCATATGATAAAAGTTTTATAATTGAATTGTAAAATATAAATTGGAGGATTGCAATGAAGTTATGTTACTGTTCAAACTGCTGGAGTGTTTGGTGAGGTGACCTTGTTTTAAATAAAGGTCTGGATGTGAGTGATCCATTCTTTGTGCAACAAAGTAAAGCTCATTTAAACATTTCTGTATTTTCTCAGGAATTTTTTTGCTGTGAGGACCGATGGGAGTAAAATCCTCATTATTCAGACTGACTTTGAAAATGGATCGCTCAGTGCCCAGCTCATTGCCTCAGCCAGGTAAGTTGCCTGTTAGATAAAACTATTAGATAAGCAATACTGAGCATATAATCAATTAATACTTGCTGTAATATGTTTATTTAACCATAATTATAAGCCAGCCAAGTTCATAGATTTTTACATAGTCCAATAAATACTCTAGGCCAATATTCTAATTTCATGGAGAACTATCTCCACCTATTCATCATACATCAGACTGAGGTGGGGAAATAAACTTTTATCTGTGTTGAAATAATAGGAGCTGTTGGGCAGGTGAATATAAAGACTTTACTTTAACTTCACAAAAGAATGATGCCTATTTCTCTTTTCTTGCAGGTATTCAACTGTTAATGAAGTCAACAAAATACAGAAGAATCAAGCTAGGGTGTTTGTAATTTTCATCAATAAGCTGTCACGAATTGAAGGAGGACGTTCCTATATAGGATTTCATGGAGGTTGGTTGGCTTATGTGCAAGAATACAGAACAAGGAGGCTGGAGGTCTATTAAAGGGACTGCTATGGCATCCGGGTTAATTCCTGCTTCCTCTCACAAATGGTCCCAGCAATGTGACTTACAAATTGCTGCAGTATAGAAAGAGATGTGCTTCTAACACAAGGCTACAAATAAGATGAAAATTTTATTTTGTCATTTCTGTGCATGAAAAGCTTTGTAAATTTTCTTGTGTATCATTCATAAATACAGCTGTTTTATTTTCCATATTATTAGAAAAATATTATGAGCAGCTCTGTAAATGCATCAAGGTATGAAGCTCGTTTCATTTATATATGTTATTTATTACATAGAGATTCCTTCTATTACTTACTACAGTACTGATTGTGTTCATTGTCAAGATAGCTCTGAAATAAAGCCAGGGTAATACCATATTATAAATCAGGATGGGACCCTCATCCTATAGGTTGCCAACCCCCCTTTTGGTTGTCCACAATGCACCGTCTGAAAAGATCACAAAACCTTGGTGACAAAAATTGCTAAAAATCAGTGATTCGGTTTCTTGCCATATTTAATTGGGAAACATGAAAACTATATGCTGTTAACTAAGTTTAATGCAGTTAACTTTACTCCTCCAATTCCGAGTTTCCTGAATTACAAAAGAAAAAGTAAATCCCTATTGTCATTACTGGACCTCAGTCCACTAAAAAAAAAAACCATAAATGTATGGAGTTCAGGCGGTATAGGGAAACATTCTTGCTTAAATTTAGTCATATTTCTGTTCTGGATATATACTGGTGTGTGTGTGTGTGTGTGTGTGTGTGTGTGTGTCTATATTTACACCAAAATTTCACTCATACCTTGCTGTATCTTTCTATTGTTAAGTCCATCACATCCTTATGTCCATTGCCTTTTGTTCTTTAGCTTGTATTTTAAGACAAAAATCATACATTTGGTTTAAGAAATATCAGGATTTTGTTGAAGTTAAATACTTTGACTTGGGAAAATATTATTGGAATATATTTATTTATATCTCCCCTTTATTATTTTTACACATAACTCAAGGCAGTGACCACACCCAAAACATCCTTTTCCACCTATTTTTCCCCACAACAACAACCCTGAGGCAAGTTGAGCTGAGAGAGAGGGAGAATGACTGGCCCAAAGTCACCCAGCTGACTTTCATGCCTAAAGGCGGGACTAGAATTCACGGTTTCCCACTTTCTAACCTGGTGTCTTAACTACTAGACCAAACTGGCTCTCTATATAAAACGTATCTCTTAATTTTGGAGACATCTTCTACTTCATGTTGCTATAAATGCAAAATCTATTTTTCCATAATTTTTTCTTAATATAAATATAAAGGTATAAGTCCTCAACTTATGACCACAATTGAGCCCAAAAATTATGTCGCTAAGGAGAAATTTGTTAAGTTAGTTGTCCCCATTTTACGACTTTTCTGTTAAGTGAATGACTGCAGCTGTTAAATTAGTAACAGGATTGTTAAGTAAATCTGGCATCCCCATTGACTTTGCTTGTCAAAATGTCGCAAAACATGATCACATGACCCTGTGACACTGCAACTGTCATAAATACATGCCATTGCCAAGCATCTGAATATAAATCAAATGACCATGGGAATGCTGCAATGGTCATAGCTGTGAAAAATGGTCATAAGTTATTTTTTTCAGTGCCGTTGTAACTTTGAATGGTCAGTAAATGAACTGTTGTAAGTCGAGGACTACCTGTAATAAAAATATTATATCCCTTCAGACTTTTGTAATATTTTTTCTCCCTGACTTCTCCATGATTTCTTTGGAGGCTAATGTATTTGTTGTTTTCCCATAATCCTGTCCTTAGCCCCTCCCCCATCTTCCCTGAGACATGATTGGCCAAACTGAAAGGTCGTATTTAACTTCAGTTTTATACACAATATCCACACATTAATTGAATTAAAGCCCTTGCTGTTACATGATAAAAGATACATTATTGTATTATCCTACCTTCCCTGCGTTAAGGTTAAGTGGTTTTCCTCAAAAACGAATAATGGGAATACAGGTAATAGCTGTGACATCTCACCTGTTGTTTTCAGGGCTGTGGCAGTCTGTGCATATTGATGATCTAAGAACCTGCAAGGACATGGTCTCGGATATAACATCCCTCCGAAGCATCGCCGTCAGCCAGCTGTTTTCTGAAAATATGGGAGAGTCTGCAGAGAATCCTGAAAGTAAGAGGTTCCAACTACATGTTTATGTAGTGTTTAATTCCAACAGTTTGTAGTAATTCCCATCATCGTTTTTAGAATCAGGTAGCATTCCTGTACGAGACTTTCTTTATCTTTGTAGCTGCAGGGACAGAGGAAGAAGAAGAAATACAGCAGGAGATGGAAGTGGAGGCATCACCTATATCCAAACCAGAAATACTTGTAAGTCTTAATGTGCCTCACTCATTCAGTTTGATTGTTTCCCTTCGATCTCGGGGGCCAATGATGTTCTTCTTTGTAACAACCTGCTTTTTTTGTTCAGTGAAATTGGTTATAGAAATAACATAAGACGTGTTTTTCACATATTTGTATCTAGATACTTATGATTAGCTATCTGTTCTAGCCTTGGGATGATTCACACATTGCCCTATTAGAGTAACATGCATAAACATCAGATATAATTCTTATTTGTGATCACTCCATAGGGATCACTATTT